GTCAGGTAGAGGCAATCCTCTCCGTTCAGTGACGGGAGATTATCTCCAGTATCTGCTACGGAAAAATGCCTAAAAGAAAAAACCGCCGGGGTTTAGCGTGCGCGTCCGGACACGCTGCCGAAGGACGGAGCGGGAAGATAAATGCGGCTGCAAAGGAAACCGCTACTCACCTTTCACCTGCCGGACAGAACTGAGGTTCTTCTCGAAAGTGTCATCGAATTTGGGATTAGTGATGGGTTCAAAATCACTAGTATAAACTCTTCCAGTAGAAGTGGAAAAACAACATTTACACATACAAGTGTGGTATCGCAACCGCCCTTCATCAAGATATGGGTGAGCTAAGGCATCCTTAGCAGATATTCTTTTGGACTGAAACATTGCATTTAGAGAAAAGAAAATGAGAAACAATCAGTTATTTTAGGGTATTTTCAGAGGTACTGAAACAGCCTAAAGAATACTTACTCACCCATTAACTCTGGACTGTTTCATAAACCCCCAGCCACGCTACAGGATTAGCTCCTGGCAGAGTTTCGGCCCCGCGCAGTGCCACTAGGGGGAAGATTTTACTCACAAACAGGCAGCAGCGCTGTGATGACACTGACCTTTCTGTACCACAGCTAATGACAGAAAATGCTGCTAATACGATTTTTAGAAATAGATTTTTCAACAATTATTTTCTGCAGATAACCTTAAAATCATGACTCCTACACTAATAAAGCAAAATAAGCCCAAAGAATTTAATGTTGGCAAATACAGCATCTGGTAGGTCCACACTCTGCAAAACGTTTTAGCGTGTCCTTAAGCACGTATTTAAAGTAAAACGCAGATTTAAGCGTCACTGATAACAGAGTAACTCCGGATACGGCACCTGGAGTTCTGAGAAATACTTTACACACCAGGCTGCAGAAAACAAGCGGTGAGGGAAGCGCAGGGAAGGAGGTGTCAGAGCAACGGCCGAATTACAAAGTCTACTCCACGTTGCTACAGCTCTTTTTGAGCTTAAGGGTCCAACACCAGCCCGTCAAAAAAGGAGAACAGTCTCCGTTCCTAAAGAACTGCAGACAGAATTTGCTGCTGCTGGTTCAAGGCGGAATGAAATCCGCTGTTACGGGTGCATTAAAAAAGCCAAAACCAACAGAAGAAACGGTGCTCAAAGTTACAGAGCAAAAGCTGGAAGCAAAACCCAAGTGTCCCAATCCCCAGGATGGTTGCAGACGAAATTGAAATCGCCTGTTCTGAAGGACTGCCCTGGTTCCTTAAAAAACCAAACCCACATTTATTTAAATGTGACTTGGGGATAATGGTATTGTCAGTGCTGAGGAGTTCGAAGGGAAAAAGGTTAAGTTTGTTTACGTGGAAGTTACGATTTAACGTTTCTGTGCTTTTGTTCAGTAAAGCAGCCTTCAGGTTTCACAAAACACAATCAAAGGTACTGCCTTTGAACGCTTTATCAGCGACACGCTCGCCCCGTTGCAGTTCGGACAATCTGTCTATTTTTCATTTGAAACGTTAGGGGGGTTCTGTAAGAACGAAATAATTAGGATCATCGATTCAGGTATCAGATTTTCTGGCGACAATTTTGTATAGTAAAGCCCAAGAGATGAAATCCAAAATCCACAGCAGCACATTTTTATTAGAAAAACAGATGCTCAGTGGAAGAAAAGATCCTGTTATGTGACTGTGTGGATGCAGAAGGAATTTTTTGTGCGTTGCAAGACCATGAACACCCACGCGTCTCTAATTAGAACTGCATCAAAGTATCTGATGTTCTGCTACCTACACCTAGCTAGGAAAAGACAGCATGATTCATGAACACCCTCGTCTTTCTCACTCTGTCGTAGCTTTCTTCAAAAGACCACTAGATTTTAAATGCAAAACCCCCATTCCAGGGGGAAATTAATTGACCAATTATAAGATGATAGTTTTAGGTCTTTTACCGACCGAAAAGTACTGAAAAGCAATTTAGAAGAAAATCAGTTCAAGCAGTCCTTTCCTTAAAATAGTCATTTGAGTAGCAGACAACAAGAACTGTTAAAACAAAAAGTATTAGAAATCATTTTAAATCGTACTTACTGGATCAAAGACCAACATTCTGCAAAGGAGATGAACTGCTTCATGTGTAGCTTGACTGGAAAGTGTATATAGGACAGGAAGGGATGGCTGTAGGGGAAACAGGAGAAAGAAAAGTACAGATACTTGTCCTGTCACATCCATCAGCGAGAACACACTGCTACAGCACGCGTTGTTTTATGGTCACCAAGGACAAACTTCTTGTTAAAAAGGACATGCACTACCTAAGGCTTTCCAACCAGACGATAATCACTGTCACAAACTCAGCAATTGCAATGGAGATCTAATTGATTATTTTTTCCCTTAGTTCAGATGCAATCCCTCGACAAACCTGCATTTTAATTATTTATTTTTCCATAACACTTTAAGCTGTAGCTGCTCAGGGGTTTGATTAACCACGTCACTTCCAGCATCCCATTTTTCTGATCTCAGTCACTGCCAAATTACGGATCATTCCGCCTTTCCTTACCCCCGCGATCCACGTCCAACTGACAATGAAAACGACCTTCAGGCACACGGTGGTTTCCATAACCCGGGCAGCTACCGAGGCTTGAGGGTCGGGAGAAGGGGGTTCAGTGACCCCCTGGGCGGAGTGTGCAGCACTCGGGCCGTGAGCTGCACGCCCAGGAGCAGCTGGGACAAGGCGCCAGCCGGCGGCGACGCTCGCGCTGGTCAGCCCCAGCACCACCGGCTCTGCGGACCCCCCGCCTCGGTGCGCTCGCCCTCGCGAGCACGGCAGCCTGCCCCTGCCGAACGCTTCCAGTTCCAGCTGGGACTGGAAAACCCCTGGGGTGCAGACGCCCCAGGAAGGACCGGTTTGGAAGCCCGGGGACACGCAGCCCTTCCCGGGAGCAGGAGCACAGCACCTTCCCCAGAGGCTGGCCCGCCT